TGAGTAGGGGGGGGGCGGAGGGGGGGGCGGGGGGGGGGGGCCATGTCCCTACCAACAGGGCCGCTGCTGGCCAAATGCCCTAAGCAGAATAGCATTGTTGTGCCCCCCCTCCTTCAAAAAATAAATAAATAAAAAATAAACACCTACTATAAAGGGTCAAAATAGAACTTTAATAAAATATAAAAGTAAATAAATAGTAATTAAATTGGATTATTTATCAATTACAATTGTAGCTCTAGACAGTTACCTATGGCTATTGTATTAATACCGTTGTCTGATTGATTTTATAGTGTCAAGCATTCAGAAATCACACAAAATAAAATTAAGCAGTTTTACTACGATAAAAATTAAGAAATTAAGTGGATATTTGAATTAAATGTTTGGTCAATATTAAACAAGGATTTGATCGTCCTGTAAGTGTAACAAACGCCAGTAATTATCAGGCCTTTGGTGCCCTTTGCAGGCATTTGTAATAATGCAAATTGTTTATTTTGTATTACATTATGTATTTAACTGTGTTACTCAATGAAACCATATGATTAGTATTAAAATGCATGTTTTATAATTATATATATATATATATATATATATATATATATATATCGGCTCTCTTAGAAGAGCCGGCTCTTACGGCTCCCAAATGGCTCTTCATTTAGTAACACTGGAGTCTTCTATTTTAGCCTAATTTAGCGTTACAAAAAAATACAGTTACTATTATTTAACATTTTAATAAAACTTCAATTGAACAACTGAACACAGAACCACAGCAAACAAATAAAATAAATAAAGGCAAAAATTAAAAGTCTTAACATTAAGACACTTCTTTAGTGCAGGTTGGCATTCAGAAAAATCAGATGCCTCAGCTTGGGTGTGCTGATGCGATTTATCCTCTGTGATTATTTGTCCTGTTTTTGAGAAGACTCTCTGAGGGGACCTATGTTGCAACAATGCAGTGTCTTCCTACCTTAACCAACGCGCTTGCGTTTAAATCCGGATCCCCCGCCTCTCTCTGTCGCTCTGTGTGCCTGACCTTTACCGCTACACTCGCTATCTTCGGAGCGTGTGTCCCCCTTCCTTTCACATAATGGTATGATCCTAGTCTATCCGCCCATGTGATTAGCCCAAGCGGCAACCTCCCGCTCTCTCTCGTGAAGCCAACACGGAAGTGACTTAAACTGTAATTCATCGACTGGCCGCTAGAGGCTGGCTTCAAAAGGTAGTCAATTAGCCTAATTTAGCGTTACAAAAAAATACAGTTACTATTATTTAACATTTTAATAAAACTTCAATTGAACAACTGAATACAGAACCACAGCAAACAAATAAAATAAATAAAGGCAAAAATTAAAAGTCTTAACATTAAGACACTTCTTTAGTGCAGGTTGGCATTCAGAAAAATCAGATGCCTCAGCTTGGGTGTGCTGATGCGATTTCTCCTCTGTGATTATTTGTCCTGTTTTTGAGAAGACTCTCTGAGGGGACCTATGTTGCAACAATGAAGTGTCTTCCTACCTTAACCAACGCGCTTGCGTTTAAATCCGGATCCCCCGCCTCTCTCTGTCGCTCTGTGTGCCTGACCTTTACCGCTACACTCGCTATCTTCGGAGCGTGTGTCCCCCTTCCTTTCACATAATGGTATGATCCTAGTCTATCCGCCCATGTGATTAGCCCAAGCGGCAACCTCCCGCTCTCTCTCGTGAAGCCAACACGGAAGTGACTTAAACTGTAATTCATCGACTGGCCGCTAGAGGCTGGCTTCAAAAGGTAGTCAATCCCATAGACCTCCATGTTAAATAGCCCAACTTTACAGCAGAAAAAAAACATGTTTACAGCCTGGTTCAAAAAATTATTTTGGTCTATATAGCTAATTTTGCCCTTCATGACAACTGTGAGGGGGGTGAATTTTTTTATAACTCATCCATTTATATTATATTAAGCCTTAAAGTTCTGCATAATTAAGGGTGTGGCCACTTGAGTGACAGGCGGATTGCCTTTGCTGTCACCCTGTCGCGCTAGGTGGGCGTGGTTTCAGCAACCAGCTCCCGCCTCTTTGCCCATTTTCGATTATCCGGGAGTGAGGCGCGGTGACACTCTGCCAAGATGGCGACGGCTGGCTCCGCCTATTAGGCTTCAAAAACGCTCTTCGGAAACCTATGGGTGACGTCACGGACACTATGTCCATCTTTTTATACAGTCTATGGATTAGCCGCATGTGTTTTTTTTTTTCTTGTAGCGAAAAAATGCATAAAAATAAGGCTTTTATGAAAACACTGAATAAAAAATTGCTTACCAACACAATCAGGGTATTGAAATCTGGAAAATAAAAAAAACGGCACATTTTTCGTTTTTCATTTGTTCAAACAAAACGAAAAATCAAGAATTTGGCTTCATTTTTCGTTTTTACGTTCAGGGATAGAAAACGAATAAGCAACTTGAATATATGATCTCTACATGTGGGTGGGAATGAAACGCCCCTCTCCGCTGATTGGTCAACCAAACATTTAATAGTCCTAAAAAAAACATAATAAGAGTCCTCCGCTTCTATGGATTCTTAACGTGTTTATTTCTACTTCATTGTATCTCTTTCTCTTCATCAAACAGCCAGATTAACGAATGGCTTGACACAAACCATATCGAAGCAGAGCCTAGACAGAGCTTTCTTTTGCGTAGGCATAAATTCTACAACCTACCCATGAAATATTAGTTTATCTCATAAATATTAATTTACTTCGCACCTGCACTCACAACTACCTACTAGCCCGCCTGAACCCGTTTATGTTTGTTTGATTTGAAAAATTATTAGCCGCATTTCGACTGCGCACACAAGAGTTAAACGGGCCAGCCGGGTCTAACAGCTTCCAATTGACCTATCGGTAAGCCCCGTCCACCTTAGTTACTGTTGCGAACTCGGACAAACAAACAGAGTTGAATCAGGGTATCTTCCGAGCATTCGTTTTTTAATTTAATATTGAAATCTGAAAAATGAAAAAAAACGGCACATTTTTCGTTTTTCATTTGTTCAAACAAATTTTTCGTTTTTACGTTCAGGGATAGAAAACGAATAAGCAACTTGAATATTCGATCTCTACATGTGGGCGGGAATGAAACGCCCCTCTCCACTGATTGGTCAACCAAACATTTAATAGTCCTAAAAAGCATAACAAGAGTCCTCCACTTCTATTGATTCTTATTTCTACTACATTTGATCTCATTTGATACATAGATTAACGAATGGTTTGCCACAAACCGTATCGAGGCAGACCCTAGACAGTGTAGGCATAAATTCTGCAAACATCCGTGAAATATTAGTATATCTCATAAATATTAATTTACTTCGCACCTGCACTCACAACTACCTACTAGCCTACGTTTTTGGCACACCGCCTGAATTATTATAGCTAACCACCTATTAAAATCTGTGTGGCAAAGCTGCGCGATGCACTGCAGCGCGGGGAGAATGTATTGTAGACCACTATTAATTTATGTGAACATAGATAGTTTTAGACAATAAACTGAGTTTATTTAATTAATATTGAGTATTGGCCAGCTAACTGATGGCATACAAAATT